TGTGCAGCACCCAGATCCAATCACTGCACAGGTCTCCACCAAAGCATAGCCATATCTGCACTTTGCGTGCCAAGGCGGCATGTAAGTTCCGCGTTCCAATCGTACTTCCGGCATTCGATACCTGCCTCTGACCTTCTATGATCGGATCTCCATGGAATTTCGACAAGAACCGGCAAAGGCTGGACACTTGTTTGGGGAATAGAAGTGATACCATTCGCTGGACAGCAAACACTGCGCAACCGATCTCTTATGTGACCTTTGATCGCCTCCGCGTCCTCTCTTCATTGCTCCCTTCCTCCCTTCCCCCCTTCCTACCCTTCCTTGGATTCCCTCCCTCCATCACAGGATTCCTGAGTGGGTGAGCCAAAGAAAGTCTGCAGCGCCTTCACCAAAAAATACATTTTGTTGTTAAGGAACCACGAAATGCCTTAAGCGCTGAAGTCGGTGAGGCAAGTAAAAGACCGGCCCACACAACAGGGATCCTTACATTATACACCTGAACATTGCCTTGTAAATGGTGGCTTCCCTTTATTTGGGTGGAAAAAGCCATGTTTCAAATGGGCAAAAAGTATCTTTTAAGGAGCCATGCACAAGGGCACGCAAAAGGCAAGTGAGCTGCTCAAATTTCACTTTGCCGAAACACACAATAAGACAAACTTCGGGCTTGCACCCGAAAATCGAGAAAGGGTGAAGTTGGCTTGACTTTGCTTCAGATCCGAGCTTTATGTTTGTTCTGCACGTGTACATGTCCCTGTGAATGCATGCAATATGTCTACATGGCTACAAAAATATGTGTATATTACTAATGCAATCAGCCTATGCAACAGTTGTAGCCTGACCGTAGATGACGACAAAGATTCTTCACAGGCGCCTCGCTACCCGTGAAGGTACTGCCAGACATGGTGAGCTTGCCGCTGGTGTACTTGTACTGAATCGCGCCCTGCCAAAAAGGTCTTTAGTCTGTAGCCTCTGGTACGACCAAGTGTTCCATGGGAAAACCCTGGCGGGCCCTTTTGGATTCGTCTTAAGTGTGCAAACAACGGGACTTGTTGGCAACAGCAAGTCCCCACACCCAGGCGAAAAGCAGTGTTTCCAACAGTCAAGGTACACAAAACAGCAAGATTGGCACACTTGGGGGGTCTATGGGGGTGCTCGCAGGAAAAGCTGTGGATTCAGGGGACCAAATGAGCCCCATGCCAAGGCCAAAAGCTGAGGGATTCTACTGGAGTTGTCTGGGAGCGCGGACCACTAAAATGCAATCAGACTCAAATCCCGGCCTCGGGATTGCCCCATACTTGACCTTGATTCGATATAGACGCTACCCCACCCCAAATTGCAAAATCAGCAAAAACGTAATGGCGAAAAGTCACCAAATACACAAGCTTTCAGGAGCTCACCCCTTTTCCTCCAGCACTAAGAATAAATCAAAAATAGTAATCCACCGGGTCAAAAAGTCCCCGAACAAGGAAGTTGAGTGGGGGGGGTGTTTGAAACGCAATGTCAGGGCGGTTTCTGTATCACAATATTCTGAGATGCTCTGCCCTTTTTCTGTCATGTCACCGACTAATCTGAAACCACGATCAAAATTGCTAGCTTCCCCAATAGGACACCGGGAACCTCTTGAGTTGTTTGGGTTTTGCACAGAGTCCCTTACATATTGACCATAGACCATGGAATATTGTTAATATTGACCGAACCTCATATGGAGGGCGTATGAGTTGAAGCAGGAAGGAGTACAGCTTGAGAGGTATATGAATACTGACAACGGTACTTGACTACAAAACACGCTCAAGGGTCCAAGACGGGCCCCAACACCCATCTAGGTCTCTCAAATGTGGACGCTGTGCCGGTGGCAAGTACTTCCGGAATCCCTGGCTAGTTTGCTAGAGGCCGAGGAAACTCCACACACGGCCCAATCAGAATCAAGTGGACTAATCCGTTTCAGTTTTCAAGAACCAGAGGTGCAAGCGCTCAAAGCAGTCCCCAACCACCAAGGATGACGGGTGACCTAAACCTTCATTGAACAAAAAGACCAAGTTGCTGCTGAGTTGCCACGGCTCAAATTGGTTTCCAAACAGCAGGACACCACAAAGTGGAAAAAGATTGATTCTCCCACCGCTCCCATGACACGCCTGAACCTCTGCTGTGCGCGCAGTGCCACTGGAGTCGTAGGAGGGCGTCAGTACATCCGAGGAGTACTGGCAGCTTGCGCCCAGCGTTGACCGATGACCGCTGGTCCAGGCGGGAGAAGAAAAAACAACGCTTCCCGGATTCCTACCTAAGCACGGACCTGCCCCAGGAATGCCAGGGAGTATCAATTAGCGCTCAATATGATAATTGATCACAACAGTCAAAATGAAAGACTACGCGGTTCGCGTGAGGCATGTCCAAAGCAGCAGTCTCCCCTGACGCCCCCACAGCTGGACCACCAATCACTCACTCCACTACCCCCTTTTCTGCTGTTGACTACATAAGCATTGGCAAAAGGAAAAACAAAAAGTGTTCATCGGGGTGACGGCTAACTAGCAGACTGGACCGGAGCCCTAGCTGAAATCCGCAGGAGTTTCAAGCTTGTTTCTCAGCCCAAAATCCACTTGAAGCCTCTGCATGTCGATCGATCAGCACGTGGAACTGATAGTCTGTCTTGGACAGGAAGGCGCTGTTCGAAAGTAGCTCCTGAGCTCGCAAGGGCCAGGGTTCCATGTTGATGCTCAGAAGAGTTACTGCTCTTTTCGAGAGCAAGATGCAAGCAACAAAGTCAAATACCCCTTTCAAATTGATTAACCTGAATGGGCTCAGCTAACTCTGAGGACGCTTGTTGCCTGAATTCAACACGCCACCAAATGTGAGAGCTGGTCATGTCCCAATGAAGCAGGCAGATCTCCCAACATCATTTACAGACCAAGTAATATTTCGAACAAACGGACCTTTCTCCAGGTCAGTTATCGTTCATGTTGACCTGCTGTTTTGTGGCGAGCGCTGGAACGCAGGAATTTATTGAGCTGAAAACCACAGGGAAGGAGTGAAATCTTTGTGGTCTCCAGGCCCTTTGACATGAACATGCATCGAAAAGCGTTCTCAGTGTTATACAGGGCTCCACAATCCGACATCTAGGTGGTTCACAACATGGTGACCCTCTTCTGGCTCTTGGGGCAACCGAGTTGGCGTTGGCGGCCTCTATGCTGTCATGTTGTCAGCGCTCCATCCGTCCTGAAGGTCCCCCACAATGTCGCTCTCCAGATTGTTGTCTGCATTCGCGTACCTCGAGAAGCAAACCACAACCAGGTAAACTAAGTCATACTGTTTGTTTCTCATGTCTGTCGAGGGCGTCCAGCAAAATAGGAAAGTCTGCACAACCAAGTCCCTCCTATTCCCAATACAAAAGGAGTGTTCCGGTTTTCCATCGAGTCCTGCACCCATTTTCTTTTGGCCCCAATTTGACACTTGTACTGTCATCAATGCAATGTGGAAACTGTGGAAAGCAAAGTGCTCCCTTCACACTGATTGGATACCGACACAAAACATTTTGGAACATCAATCGGCCTTCCTCACATCCCTTGAGACTGAGACTTTTGGCAAGATTGCGTAGCACCTCATGTCCTCCCCAAACAAAAACGAAACGAGCCAAAAAACTGGGGACTCTGTATTTGGCCCAAAGACCTAAAAAAGGATGCAACTGAACCCGTGCCGAGGCACTGCAACGCTGCAGAATGCAGTCGACCCAATCGCTTGGGCGTGCCAAGCCAAAAAACTGTGACGGGACCAGAAGCCGATCCAAAGATCTTTTCCTTTAAAAAGAGAAGCTCCAAACTGGCGAAGTTCATTCTGAGCGGCTTCCTTACTTCGTTTTGACACGCCGTGAAACAGAGGCATGGCTTCCAAGGCGCATCATGTGGCAAAGCTTTATTGCGCCACAGGGCGCCAAAAGCGCCACCAGAAGCGCCGAAGGAACTGGACGCAGCATGGCCGGATATGGCCAGAGCAACGGGGCCGGGGGCGGGGGTTCAAACCGCAACGCCTGCGGATGCGTTTTTGGGATCAGAACGACGCCGAAAGAAAACTTGCCCCTTTGGCTGACTCTGCCGGGCTCACCATCATTCTCAACCCCTGGTGGGACTAAGAAAAAGGATCCCAATTTCAGACTGTGACAATGTCCGCTTCGTAGCAACTCCTCCAGACTGTTGAAACGGTGGGGATGTGATCCACTTGCTGGGACCCTTCTGATAAACAGTGTTCTCAGGATTCATTCAAAGTCGACGTGGTTCAAACAATGACCCCCGAATTGAACTGCTGGAGCTTCCAAATGATGCACTACTCTTTTTCAGGCCTGCCTGCTGAACCTTTGAAGGGAGACTCGCCAAACAACGCCATCAAATGATATTAAGCTGGACCCATAAAGCAAAAAGTGCCAAACAAAGGTCCGAACTCAACAAACCAGGCCGATTTTTGTTTCAGGAAATATCAGCAGGGTGTCCATCATCCTGCTTGGTGTGGCCAGCCAACGACACGGAAACTTGTGAGAAATCATGATGACCCATGTTTAGTGTTGATCAAATCCCAGCATGCATTTTAGGAAAATCCGAGAGCTCAGAAATGAACAACCTGAGCCTCCCACGCCCCAGGGTTGCTGATGGTGCGCACGAGCTCCGCAATCAACTGGTGTTTTGGGCCCTAGAATGGTTGATCTCTTCTCGGCCTTGCAAAAATATGGCAAAAAAGGGAGACGCATCTCAGCATCTCCTCACCCTCTCAAGCATGTTGACTCAGCATTTTCCTTCTGAGGCTCTGAGGCCCTTGGAACAACAAGCCGCAGAAGGTGTTTGCCATGCCAACAGTTGAACTGCCCAAGCTTGGAGTCAACAAGGAGCTGCTCAATCTGAATGCTTCCAGGGTCATTCCCAACTCAGCAACATCTGCCCCACTTTGAACAAGCAAGGGCAAACAACTCCCCATTTTCATGATGCCCGCAACCCACCTGCGCTTCGCTCTCTTCGGCGCACCTGTGGTCGGAGAAGAGGTGCCTGAGGCATCGATTGCAGCTGCAGCCGAATTGGAAATGCCGCAGCTCGATGCAGAAAGTGATAACCACTACACCGGGGCACTTTGAATCTTACATGGAAAAGATACATAGATTTGCAAAATCATGCTCGCTTATCCCACGTATTTTGAGATCCTTGGTGAGATGAAGAACAAAACTTTTCGAGTGGTTCATATACGGCAAACTGGGCATTAGGACTGCGAGGGGTGGAACTAAAGCGATTTGGTCAGAATTCAAAATTGGGGTATGTGAGTGATTGCCAGTTGAAAGCCCGGTCGCCCCTTAACAACAATTTCACCTTTCAGACTGCATGGGGCAGCCATGGTGTGCTTCGCAGGCCAGTGGACCACCCCATGGCCCAATTGCTCCCCAACCAACGGGTTTTTTCTATCTGAGCACGCATGCTGCACATGCTTTGGATCGGTGCCTCCTTGCGGATGATGGAGTTTAAACAAACTGACACTAACAATGGGCTCCTGTTAGTGGCTGGGACACGGCCCAACACATACTGGAGGCTTGCATCTAGGAACTTGCTTAGTTCGGCCATCTTGCCAGGCAGAAGAAGGAAGGTCTCAGAAAAGAGTGATATTGCAGCTTCTAAATCTGCTGATTGCGGCTGAAGTGGCGTCTGCCAGAGCTCCAAAACGTCGATGTCCCATGACTACCACGAAGCAAGCAAGAACATGTGTACACAGTCATTTATATGGATTGTGAATAATAGTGTATACACATGCTGTCGCGTGTCTCTGTGTGATTGTTTCACGTACCAATCTACTATATCTATAGACAGGTTTACACCCATACATCTCTTTCCTTTGCGAGCGTCTCAAAACGCAAATGTTATGGCTCGATCTATCTCCCTCCATCCGCATGGCTCGCCTGAACCTTTAGAGACTTGGCCAAGCCCGGTCCCAGGGTCTCGCGCTCGTGGGGACGACACGGGCTCGCCTTCGAGATTCGCCGCCCGAATCTCCCCCCCCCCCCCGGTGAGTCCAGTTGCCTCACGATGCCCTCGGCACATGTCAAATATGCATTGGCATGCCGCTGTTGCCTACATTCTGCCTACATTCAGTTCTCGAGTCATTCTGCCTACCTTTCAACCCGGGGTCATGTGATTGTTGAAGAATCGCTTGGGCATGCAAGCGTCTCGCTCCACAGGGGCTCTGTCCGAAACCCACTCTGAGTGGTCAGGTCACAAACGCTCGAAGGTGGCAAAACTAGTTGAATCTGTCATGGCTGGCTGCTGGTGGGCGTTCTTTTCACCGCTTTGATACATGCCCAAGCATGCCTTGCCACTTGACTTAGGGAACCTCGGCTGCCTAAATCCAGCAAATTCCAGCTGGCAAAAGGGAGTTGAACAAGTCGACCAGGACCAAAAGCTGTGTGGATCGTGTCCAACGAAGGATCGAAAGCCCAACACGTCGCCAATGTTCATGGTAGGAGTTGGGGAGAGGACTTTCATGCCTGGGGGGAGGGGGGGTTCTGATTGCCTTCCATGCCTCCCCCCCCAAAAAAAAGGCATGGGTGCGTTGCGCAGAGAAGCAATGCCTCTCTTTTGATCACATCCATGTTGATCCCACATGCCTGGAGTCGCCATCTGCTGAGCAGCTGTTGGTTGGACGTGGGCCCACCCCATCCCGTGTTGAACTGACAAGGGCCTGACAGCCGGTTTTCCCATGTAACGCACGACAACCCCCTGCTGAGGCCCCCTGCTCAGCATCCGACTGGGCTGCACCAAAGGGATGGGCTGAACCTCAGCCACCGACAGAAGTTACAGCCAGGGTTAGCACTCAACCACACACTCAACTGCCTCACTCAGAAAGTCACACACACACACACACCATGAAACGAACGCTGGGTTGTTGTCACCCAGACAGCACTGTGGCCATTCTGCCGAACAGTCCCATTCGAGACCGAAACGTCTGGCAAAAAGCCCACGGAGAGCTGATCTTGGTTCCTCCTGCGCCCCCTGCTCTTCTGAGAAAAGAACGAGCCTCCCACGCCTTTTCTATAGTTGTCATGGACAAATTGGGCCGCCGCTACGTCCAAAGATATGCTCTCCTGAAGTAGTACTTGTTTCCAGACAGGGTAGTCCAGTAATACATGCACCATGACCATAAAGTATCTGCGATGTACATTATGCCCTCAAAGTATGAGGTGGGTGACATGTTCCTGCTTACTCGTGCTATCTTGGTAATCTTGCCGCGTGTTGTTCCCTTCGCACCAATCAATGCCTGGTCTTTCATCTCCATGCACGCTTTGCAATTGAGTGACCCAAGTTTCATGAGTAGCGGTCTTTGGTATCCTGGAACAAGAAAACAACAGCATGTTACGCCATGGACCCCTGCAATGCGATTTAAGCAGAAAACAACCTCCTTCCACAAGCACAATTTCGCAAACGCTCAACCTCTGCCTTCCAAACCTCCTTCAACAGGAGAACTTCGATAGAAGTGTTTGTGGGATACCACGGGGAGCCAAGTGTCAAGCCTCACCAGCCCCGTGTCTGCCACCTCCATGGGCCCACACCCACTGCAAAGGCGCCGCCCATGCGACCACCTCCCGCGCTCAGCGACGTTGCGTTGAACTCTTTAGGTATGCGGTGCCATATTTCGAGGCATCGAAGCACGGTATGTACCCTGAGAGGAGAGGCTTCCTCAGTACACAAAATTCAACATCTGAACTGAAAAGGATTTGAGAGCTGAGGGGCTGGACACAAACGTAGTGTCGATGCTATGGTTCCTTCGCAACTACCAGGACCTAGCCATGAACTGGCGCCCTTGCATGCCGCGCTTAAAGAAGGGGTCCCGGAAGTCAGAAAAGGGAGTCACAACGCAGTAGAGTCCAGAGCTTACGGAGGTCAAAATCGAAATCAGGTTGACCCTTTCGAAAGGCCCAGTTGCGGAATGGCCTATTTGTGGCAACCTGATGGGTGTGGGACGCAAGGCATCCAAAGGATGTGTTTCCAGAACAGTTCAACGAGTGCCAAAGGACCTCATGATGGCCCAAAGCGAAGTCACGGGAAAATTACCCAACGGGCTTGTCCTGTTGCCTCTTCCAGAACAAAAAGCCGTGCAAAAATGTAGAATCTCCCTTTGAGGGATCCCCTTGCAGACAAGAAGCAGCGGATAAACCCGACTGCCCGGTGGACCCCCTTCAGCCCATGGCCGTTGACTTGTGTTAGCAAAGTCGGCTCCAGGAAAACGCCAACAGCGCGCAGAATTAGCCTGACTTTAGGCTCCGAGAGAGTTCTACCGAGAGGTTTGCGTAGGCCTCGCTGTTGAAACTCAACCAAATGATTCGATAAGTCCAGTCCACCCGCTGGATTTCTCTTGCTTGGGGCCAATGAATTTTAAGATCGACTTGGCAAATCACTTGATCTCAAGACTCCGGCAAGCAGCATCTGCAACTGTGACCCTGGGCACACTAGCAGTGTTAAACTGTGTTAAACTGTTCTACCTGGGATGCAGGCAGTTTTCTGCTACCTGCAAGGTAGTGGTTGGGTTGCAAACACACTCTGCCATTGAATCCCAGGCATCATGCGTTGCCTAGCCCCTCCAGCACCCCCTTGTGGCCGGATCGCGAAGAAGGATTAGGTTTGCCGAAACAGACAGACCTTCTCGCTGGTGGCAATGGTCCTTGAATCAAGCAGTGTTTGTCAGGGGCCCGCCAAATGCCCTACCCACTTACAGGTCGGGAGAGAAAACATCCCTCACCCCCTGCGATCCATGTTTGAGAAACTCCAGTGTAACCAATCCGTGGCTGGTTCTCTCTCTTTCTCTCTCTCCCTGTCTCCTTTCTCTCGTTCTCTCCTCCTCTCTTTCTTTCTTTCTCTCACTCTGCCTTTCTCTCTTTCTCCCTTTTTCTCTTTCTCCCTTTGTCTCTTTCTCTCTTTCTCTCTTTTTCTCTGCTTCTCTCTTTCTCTCTTTCTCTCTGTCTCTCTTTCTCTCCTTCTCTCCTCCTCTCTTTCTCTCTTTTTCTCTTTCTCTCACTCTGCCTTTCTCTCTTTCTCCCTTTTTCTCTTTCGCCCTTTGTCTCTTTCTCTCCTTCTCTATTTTTCTCTCCTTCTCTCTTTCTCTCTTTCTCTCTGTCTCTCTTTCTCTCCTTCTCTCCTCCTCTCTTTCTCTCTCTGTCTTTCTCTCTTTCTCTCTTTCTGTCTTTCTCTCTTTCTCTCTTCTCTCTTTCTCTCTTTCTCTCTTCCTCTCTTCCTCTCTGTCTCTCTTTCTCTCTTTCTCTCTTTCTCTCTCTCTCTCTCTCTTTCTCTCTTTCTCTCTTTCTCTCCTTCTCTCCTCCTTTCTCTCCTTCTCCCCTCCTCTCTTTCTCTCTTTATCTCTGTCTCTCTTTCTCTTTCTCTCTTTCTCTGTTTCTCTCTGTCTCTTTTTCTCTCTTTTCTCTCCCTCTTTCTCTCCTTCTCTCTGTCTCTCTTTCTCTCCTTCTCTCCCTCTCCTCCTCTCTTTCTCTCTTTCCCTCTCTCTCTCTCTCTCTCTCTTTCTCTCTGTCTCTCTTTCTCTCTTTCTCTCTTCTCTCTGTCTCTCTTTCTCCCTCTCTCTCTCTCTCTCTCTCTCTCTCTTTTCTGTCTCTCTCTCCCTCTCTCTCTCTCCCTCTCTCTCACTCTTTCTCTGTCTCTGCCTGTTTCGCTCTCTCTCTCTCTCTCTCCCTCTCTCTCTCCCTCCGTCTCTCTCTCTCTCTCTCTCTCTCCCTCTCTCTTGAGGTGGACAATCGGCGAATTCGCTAGAAGACTATGGAACAAAAAAGAACATAATTGAAGGGTCGAAAGGTTTTGCAGACGTATGTACGTATGCCTTTGTGAATGCAAGCACAAATCCCCCCCCCCCCGTGCCCAACCTGCGGTGTGGGTGAAGCGCTGCGCTCCCTAGGCGTGAAAACAAAAAGAACAAAAAAAGAGGGAGAAAAAAAAGAGAACCCGAATGCAAAAATGAACAACCCCAAAGATAACAACGTGACTGGAAAGACACCCAAAAGCCTCCCCAAAGATAGCCCCACAAACAAAGCACTCCCAAAGACATGTCCAAAACATGTCCAAAGACACCCTCACAGGCACTCCCAAAACACCAAAGATTCCATGTCGCGAAAGACATCCCCAAAAGATGTGATCAATGACATGTCCCAGCAACCCCCCCAAAACATCTTCCAACCCGACGATACCTACAATGACAAGCCTCAAACGAAGACCCAGTAGATGCCCAAAGACATCCATAAATACATCCCCGTGGTATGCAGAGACAACCCGCAAGGACCCCCCAAACAAACATCCCACAAAGACATCCCCTCAAGACACGTTCCAAAGACATCCCCAGTGTCATCCTTCACCCCTGAAACCGTCACCCAAAGACCCCTTTCCAAAGACATTCCCAAAGTCATCCCCAAAGATACCCGCCAAAGAGCCAAACACAACCCAGCAGATCCCTGAAGCTATCCCAAAGACGTCCTCTTAAGATATTCCGCCAAGACACCTTCCAAGGACATCCCCAAATTCATCCCCAAAGACATCACCCAACACGGCCACAAAGACACGCTCAACACACAAGGGAAGAGACCCCAAAAACATTACACTAGATAACGACAAAAGTCATCACCCAAGACATCCTCAAAGACACCCTTAAGGACATTCCCCAACGACATTCCGAAAGACAGCTCCTTAAAGCCGTCACCCCAAAACATCGTCCAGACATCTCCCCAAAGGCACCTTGCAAGACAGCCAAGACGAGCACAAAGACATCCCTGAAAACAACACACATCCCCCCACAAACATCACAGATTCTGAGCCTTCCCCAATGGCACGGCACCTTCTTCCACTTGCGGACGCTTGCGGACGCTTGCCGACGCTTGCGAACACAGCGACACATCTGACTGACGAACACATTCTGACCCCTGGCCCAGACTCCTTCCAGAACGCAAACCCTTCTGCTACGCATTTGGGTGCGTGTGATGGCGGGCTGGCGGGCGGGCCGTCTTCTTCCGTGGCCATCAACAAGGCGTAACTTCTACCGCAACATCACTCTACCAGGTCTGAGCTCGCATGAGAAACTTCATGCAAAGCACATCAAAGCACTAACTGCGATTTTGTTTCCCAAAAGCAACTGGACAATTCAGCCTCGCCACGCCGGAAGGTTGGCCAGCCGCAATCTCCTTTAGGCTGAGTTTGCCCTGAGAACAGGGGGATAGCATAAAGTTAATGTGCCTGTCCGTGCTCAGTTTACATTGAGTACCCCAGGCGCGATGCCTCAGCACGCTGAGCCACCAGCCTCACGTGTGGGAAGGCCTGAGCATCGCACAGAGCTTGTTCTGTGAAAGAAGGACATGCGGCTATCCGCGTCACCTCTTTGAACTATGTGAGAACGTTCTGGGGCTTTGGGACTTGTCCTCATCATAATTTGTGCTTGTTGCTTGGAGAGACTGCCTTTCAAATGTACTGATGGCCCAATCTGGTCTGCCAAAAAGGTCTGAGCACATGCATGCTCCTTGAAGGGAGGGTAAGCGTGCAGCTTGGATTCACGCCGCAACAGCCTTGCTTAAGGATGCGAGTTGTCATGTCCTGTCCCCGACTGCAAGCATCGCAGTGTTCATTGGCCAGGGTTCCCTTGCACATTGCAGGTCGGCTCGTGATCAAAAGGTCGATCAATTGCAGCTATTTCTTGAATGAAGACCTCGGGAAAATGGCCACTCCAAAGCTTCCTAGCCAAAACAAAGGGCCGAGACCTGACAAAGATGCAGCCACCATGGCTTGATTGAAAAGCAAAGGCCAAGCCCAAAAGCCCAACCTCAGCACCTGCCAAAACCACCAGCACTACTTTTCATTGCCAGTGCAGCCAACACCCACATCCTTGTGGAGCAAACGACTGGCCGCCAGCGGACTCTCTCTGAGCTGCCAGGCCGAAAAACGAGGGCTCACACCTCAAGTTCCCGCGGCGCGCAGACTGAGCAAGCTGTATATGTTAGCATGGCAATGTTCGGCATTGAAATATGAGAATCAAAGGATCCAACACAAGCCGAAGAAATGGGAATGACAGTGTCAAGGCCTTCGTCCAGGACTCCTGTTTTGTACAAGGCACAAGTTGGCTGGAACGTGTGGAGTATTCCCATGTCTGGGGAGCTTGAAAAACCAAGAGTCAGGAATCACAATTTGGAAACCAATGACTTGCGTGTGCTGGTTTGTGCCTTTGGGCGTGGTCCTGTTGGTCCTCAAGTATTCAATACGTGTCCAGGATGTCTTACAAATGCTCGAGTTCAGCAGTGTGGTCATGCATCCTGCAAACAGCCAAGAAAAATCAAGAATGGACCTTGCTAAGAATACTGCAAGGCCTGCTAACACTTCAAATCCGTCCAAACTACAAATATCCTCCACAAAAAGGCTAAGGCCTGCATGCCCATATACCGCTACCCGCTGATCAACTCCTAAAGGAGGCGATTGATGCCCATGGCACTGCAAACAACTGCTGCGTTCCCCAGCCGCCCCTCCCAGCCGGCCGGCCTGTCTCCCAGGACATCGAGGGCGCCTGCCAAAGACAGCAAGGATTCAGATGCATGTGAGTGCATTTTGATGATTCTGACCCACGAAACTAAATCTCCAGATAAGCATGTTGCCGTCAGGACACTCTCCAGCGGCCCTTTGCATCTTGTTGCCAAAGTTAGGGCTATCCAAAGATATGTCCAGCCAATTTTGACACATATTCAATTTTGACACATATTCCAAGATGACAAGAGCCACAGAGGTTACCTCTGGTCTGATTCGGTTGAAAATCAGCCCCCCAAATTCAAAAGACAAGCAACATGTATCCTTTGTGAATGTCATGATTTGTCCAAACATAGGCGCAAGGCGCAGCTCGGCCGATACTGCACCCGATCCCACTTTTCCTGCCTGCGGCGGCAAGCCGAAAGGCCTAGGTACAGCCAGGTAAGAGAATCATGCGCGAGTCACATGCCGTGGTTGCCGTCTCGCCGGTGATCCACTGACCAACGTTGTTGGCTTCAAGTTCATCAAGACCCGAAGCTTCTTTCATTGGAACCTAAAATGTCCCTGCACATGATTTATTCGGTGAAAAGAAGCCGACGGGGGACGTGTTCCAACCTCACCATGTCTTCTGCGCTTCAAAGTGCGTGTTTGGTGAGCCACCTCTACATGCGAAAGACCCGCAGACAGCCTTGCTGGATGCGAACCACAGGTGTGCTAGGCGTGTTAACTCTCTAAAACTGCGCCAAGGGGAAGATCTGTGATATCCTTTGGGCAGCGCAACAGTGAAACAAGTAGAGTTGGAATCTGAACTTTGGCCTTTTGGCACGGCCCCAGCATGGATGCGAGAGCTCCTCCTTTGTTCGAGACTGGCAACTCCCAACTGCCCAAACTTCCGAACAATGTCTTGCGGTTGCATCTGACAAATGCGTGAGGAGAGTGTCAAACACCTGAGCCCTCTTTGGGATCCTGGTTTAAAGGGCTATGTCCACGGCCAGTGTCAATTGTGTTTGGAGCTAACGCCCTGACAAGTGAAAACCAACATACCTAATATACCTGCTGGCAGCTTACTACAAGCTCCTGCAAATCTGGACATGATTTGCGGAAGCCCTAAATCAAAGCCCATGCGCCTAGCCCCTGGTAGGGAATTGTCAATGCGCGGCTCTCTCCGCCAAACGCCCCAGCTTCCATAAGCAGTTTGAGACATGGCATGTTTTGCAAAGCGCAGTTTCCAGGTCATTCTCTCTCAACTTTGCCTACGCGCCACATCCTACTAGTCCTACTGCAAAACCTTGTGCTTCTCAAACACATCGGCCCGCCCCTACCAGCTCCCACAACCGGCAAGGCACATGCGCGCTGTGGCGCTCAGGGAGCCACCCAGGGAGCCAAGGGAGCCCTCGCGGTCGGCTCTGGGGCATTTGGGTGTGTCCATTGTTTTCTTGGGGGGGACCTTCCAAATGGGGGGGGCGTTCCTTCGGGTTGTTTCTCTTTACAACACAGCAAAATGCCCAGGTTACGGGAAATCGCCGGCCTGCAAAGTCCCCAACCCGGTGCCCATAGGCAGCAATCTGGTACCTCCTCCACCGACCAAGGTCACGACATGCTTTCAAGGGATCGCAATGCAAACTATGGCCCAAAGCTGGGATGTGGACCTCTTCCTGGCAGGGAGCCAGAACGCACGACGCCCAAAGCACGCCAAGGCTTGCCAGCTTTAATCTCTGCCCGCGGCCGCCTCAGTCGAATGATAAGAAGCAACTCCGACTTCTTGGCTTTTAGGCTCCTTCAAGCCTAGACGGCCTGTACAAGGGCAAGGAGTGCAACCAAAAAAGTGCCTGTACATGGAGTGCAAACGAAGAAGTGCCGAGGAAGCAGTCTCTCGCAAACTAGCATACAATACAACAAGCTGCACGTTGTGTCTTTGGGCTTGCTTGCAACAGCAAAAACGCAAAATGACTTTGCTTTTGCTTGGTGAGAAGGGTGGAATCTGCACAACTGGGTTGGATTCCACTTTGCATGGCGTAGGGTCAACTGACAAATGGCCTTTAGCAAGAAACCGACCACGTCACGGTGGATGCTGGTTCTAATATCGTACAAACTATGCTTGACTGTCTTGAAGTGGGCAGGTTGACTTCAGATTGATTAGCGTTCATTTTACTTAAAACACCTGGAAAAGATACATTGTCTACCAATCAGTATCATGTCGGCTTTAAAAAATATATATAATGAAATCTGCAAAATGTATGACGATTCATGACTCCAAAACCTGAAACAACTGAAATACAAACCTTCCAGGAAAGGATCTTTGGGATACCAAAACACCATCCTGGCCGGCCTTTGCACATCTCCGACGCGCCTTGCTCTTCCGCGGCGGGTAGCAAGACATCTGATTCCGCCAGCTTTACAACTTTTGGCTTCAGAGATCGCCTTGGACTTGCCGACCGGCAAGGTCCATACCCGGCCTGCCACCTCACCGCTGCGCGTGCCTTGGCGACCGCGTGCTTGCAGGCGAACATCGCAGGTTGGGATTGGTGCTACACTTCCTGGAGGGGTCGTGCACCGAAATTAGGTGATGCCTCAGAGCATGGACTGGAGAACGTAGGGAAGGATCCCGCCACACTTGAAGTACTCCACCTCCACCTGCCCGCAGCTCGGCAGTCGGAGTTCGGTTTGGAGTTCGGTTTGGATGGAATTATTGCCCAGCTCCTCAGGTTGAACAATTCACTGACCCTTTCACCATCGGTGGATTTTCTTGAATGTACGACCTCCTAGCCAGAAAATGATGGGGGAATGCTCTCCCACAGGGACTTGAAAACCCACAGCCAAGCGTCTGGCAACCCCAGTCCGGCCTCTGTGTCTAGCCGCAACGTCGTAGTGAAGCGGAAGTGCCCCTCCGGTCCCTGCAGAGCGCGTTCGCATCGCGCTTTGTTTCGGGAAGCTTTGCCAGCACCTGAATTCTGTGAGAATGTCGTGAGAGTACGTCAATGTCACTTCTTTTACGGAGATGGAACACGGTCACTCGTAAGCTACTTAGGAAGACGTTCGGTCTCAGGTCGAACTCTGAAAAGGCTCTGCACCGCCTCTCCCAGCTCCATTTTGCCACTAAACAGGCTGCGCACCCCCCCCCCTTTTCAATGTTGTTGGCATTCACAAAAGGTGGTGCAGGATTTCAGTTGTTCCAATACGTTTGCAAGCGAACGGCCTTAAACTTCCAATGTTAAATGGGGAGCGCGAGAGCTCTTGCAAACATTGGTGAAAGCGTTGCAGGATTTCGTCCGTCAACAGTAGGGCCTAGTTTGCACACCGATTCTGGATTTAGAAAAGAACCTCAAAGGGGAATCCTTGGCTTCAATGATCTATGTCGATGTTCGTTGCAAGCTGGTGCCTGTGGTTAGTCAGCCCCAATCTTTTCACGAGTCACATTTGGGCTGATCCCACATAAAGCCCATGCAAAAATCAAGCATGAAGCCGGGAATTGTCACTTGGGATTTTCTGACCTGTGAGCCCGCTCGGTCTTGAGCCGCGCCTGGGCTTCCACCTCCACTCCGGCGCCTGGCCGCAGCTCCTGTCGGGCCAGGGCATGTGAATCGAAGGTTCCTGTGCAAACAAATGGCAATGCTAAAAACGGCGGCAACATAGACCAGGAATTGACGGGGGATTTGTTGGGCTTGCTTTGGAGAGACCTGGAAAGGCAACATAGAATCGGAGGACGGGGGATCGATAGGGCCAGGTCTGGGAGATGAACTCAGGATCACGCAAACCCTCCAGCGAAGACCTGTCGCCATTTGGCGGGTTTCAAAAACAGAAAATTGGGTTGTCCCACCCCCCGGATTCGTGGGAAACAACAGTAGACTGCAAATACACAATACGTTGCAGCAGCTCACATGAAGGGGTCACATACCGTGGGCGCGGCTTCCGGGAGTTCGACGTTCTGGTCAGGTCGGTGGAAGCGAGGCTACCCCTTCCCGGCCCCGAGCCTGCGGGAGGTGCAGGCGGAGGCGCTCGCGCCCGCTGAGCTCTGGGATGGTGCCCGCAAAGGTCAAGGGCAATATCCCCATGCCTCACGGCGCTTTGCACAACAAGAACCTCCGAAAGGTCCCAAGTCTGCACATGTCCTTTGTTGGATGCTCGAGAATTTGGTACTTTGGGGTCGTACTGGAACTCGCTTTCGCCAGAAAGTGCTCGTGGCTGGGCAAAGCAACTAAAATACGACGCTCAAGAATACATGAACACTTTGCCACGTACGAGGGACATTGACAACAACCTGAAAACAACCGCTCAAGGCTGAGCCAAACATGCTGGCCGCAGGGACAATATCTGGCAAAGCAATCAGGCAATAAACATTACACATGTTCCTAGCTGCTGGAACCTTTTGCGCCCAAATCACTCCGGTTTTGGAAACACAGTCAGATGCGGGCGGAAAGCCAGCGCTAGAACTCATGTCTGAAGAGATCTTGCGCCAAAAGTGGCAATCTTCCTAGGTCCGAGAACAGGCATCACACACACGCTGTTCCCTGCTTGGAACCTCCCCCTTCAGGCCTCCATGCTTCGGGCCGGAATGGCCGAGTTTTGTAAGTCGGGCCTTATCTCCGAAAAAGTGTGGGCGGCCAACGTTTGCCTTGCCAACGACGCTTCGAATGATACAGGCCTTGTGATCTCGACTTCCGCACAGCTGTTCCAAACTGAGCGCCACCCCACCCTCAGTAACCGCAATTAGAGATATCCAGCTACGAGAGGCTACTAAGCTTCACTTAGCCTTAGTTCAGTCGCTTGCCCAACACATTTCAAGGGACTGACCGAGCACGAAGATCCATTGTCGGCAACAACACAAGGACAAGATAAGCTAAGCCAAGGAGGTTCAAAGAAAGACCTGATTACCCATGCTTCTGGTAAACAGAAGCACATCTACAACTGAGGAATGATTTTGCACAAAGCGCAACTGGGTTCTTGTAGGGAATGGTTGTAAATGGACCTTCCCTGAAATGGGTGGCATGTGTGCCTTTCGTTTTTCCCTTTTAAAGCGTGTGTCTGTTCCTGTTGGTTCCCCCTTTTAAACCTACCAAAAAGGGCTACCCTCAAAAAAAGGCACACCCGTACACATCACCCCCGAAAAACAGCACCAAGTGTTTTGGGCCAACCCTAGCCTCACAAAACGCGAACGCGCGCGCTTTGGCGCACCTACGAGGTTGGCCCGGTGGATGCGCTCAAAGCTCTCTGCCAGCACGGCCCTGACCCCCAGCAGCGCGGGGCCCTTGGCCGCCCAGTCCCGGGAGGAGCCGCTGCCGTACTCCTTCCTCAGCGGTCAAGCGCTTCCCAAGAGAAAAAAATATGTGGCCAAACGACTTTGGTTGATATGTACAAAAAGCATCTGGACCAACACTTGGAAATCCTGAAATTGGCTCCCATGGTGTTTCCACCAGAAATAAGCCTCTCAACGCCTGAATCAAGGGGTGGAGGTTCACCTAGCGCCGATGATGCTTTATCCTTGGGTTACTGCCTAAGTCTTGGCAGGGAGCAAGGGAACAAACACACCAATCAAACCTATTGTTTCCGCCGGCGCTCGGGCCGTCAAGCGGATTCAAAGGAAACCTATCGGAAACCTATCGAAAACCTAAGAAACACTGCTCTGAAGGTGCTTGACAGGTTTCTTCAAGCCGTCTTACATATTACGGTTGGCAGCTCGTTCACAAACTTAGGAACCAAAGGTCCCATACGTCAATGCCTCCTGATATCAATGCTGCAACCCCCAATGCTAATCATGCTTGGAAGATGGGAAGAAAGATCGGATTTGAACCTAGAACTGGAGCCCTGCTATGTTGCGGGTGCTCTTTTTGGAGGCATGATGAGTGACTGCTGGGGGTGATTCAGTACTTTCTTAGGAGGAACAAGGCGTGCAGGAATTCGTGCTCTCTACTAACTTACTGAGGGGGTTGCGGCGCTTTGGGGCAAGCGGACTCATGGCCTGTCCATCTTTCATTCAAAACACTATAGCGTCAGACTTCACATACCCTCAGAAGGGGGATGAGGGCTGTAAAGGTTATTGAAATTTGAAAGGAGTTCGCAAGCATGTCCCTCAGACAGGGGCTCCAATTGCCCCTTTCCTGCCGTTGCCATAGATTTCAGATCAAGCAGGTGGGCGAAATCCATGGAACCCAGACAAAGCAGCCAAGAGCTGACGTGCCTTCCACGGAAAAGTCAACTTCAGCCGCTGCAAGCCCCTAGGCTCCCACGCCCTGCGATCACCACCAAATCATAGCCCTCCTCCTGATACCTCTCAAGTCTTCAGGTACGTTGCGAGGCTTTGGGCTTGGCAAGCTGCAGATAATCAGCCAATGACTACCGCGACTTCGGCCTCTCAGAGACGGCCGGCCGTCCAACTGACCAACTTCACGTCTACAT